GCGAATAAAGACCAACTGGGAATAAAGACCAGCAGAAACTCTGTTCTTCTTCAACGTGCACGTATATAAGAAGAATTTGACAAAATCTCAATTGGTATTTGTTCAGGGCACTTACATATGGACACAAAAATTCGCTTACTTTTCTTGCAAACGTTCGCAATTCTTGGCATCCACCCTTTCTTCTACATCCCAACCATGCAACTATCTTGTAGGCAACTGTTCTTGTTATCAATGTTGTTACTTAACAGTATGTGTTGCATTATGCTTGTTTAAGACTCAGCCGACTTGAACAAGGGCTTATGCCCGAAACGTTGTCATAAAGCTTAAACAAAAACGAGCTTACCATCTCCACTAACGCTACGAGACCCAAATCATTGAAGCTCAGGGAACCCCTATTCCACTTTTAAATCAGTATCTGTAGAAGTCAGTATCCGTAGACTTCGATTCGTCATGAGGTTTTTACAAGATGCAAAAATAACACAGTTTTTGCTCAAAAACCTGTAAATTCACCAACCTTTGCTCCAGCAATCTCGCACAACATCTGGCTCATATCACATCCAATCTAAAGCAAGAACTGTTCTCGGTTGAATACAGATATGTACATAAAGGAACACATTTGTTTCTGATAAGGAACTGACAGAATCTACCATTAAATTTATAGATAGAAATAGCAGGATGGCCATTTTTTGCCATTATACTTATTCGATAAATTCACATACAATATTGTGCATATAAAGACAAATTTATAAGGTAGCACACCTTGCAAAGATTATCTTCCAAAATCAAATATTTCCCATTACCACAGCCAACATCGTAAACTAGTGAAAAGTCAGGCAACGAGCTCAAAAATCTGCAACATATATTGTTTGAAAAGAGTGGCATAAGCCCCGAAAAGACAAAGTAACCATTGCAGAAAGAAGGATAAGGCATTCCACTTGACCAATCCCTTTTGGGATGCGCCAAACATTCTACTTCATTTCAGAATCTCTGGTCCTTGAAATGCGATTTGGTGTATGAACTACGGGCCAGCCACTGCACAATTCAGAGTTTATCCTCCTATACAAGTCTGGATAGCAATAGACCGATTCCTGAGGGATGGAAGACCTTGTGTTTGTTTGGAAGCATTTGATCAGCGGACTATGCGCGTGGTAAGCGCGCTCCTTGCCACTACCCACTTTCGCCCATAGTGCAGGAGGAAGTTCCCAAAATTACCTTTTTACACCGGTCCAGCTGGAAAACCTCGTCTCGTCAAAGTGCGACGCAATACTTTCGTATACGCCATTAACGTATAACCGTTCTATACGTTCAGCTGAATTGTCATCGGATGGAACAGCCATTTCTCCTGAGATGTCGCACAATAGGTTCAAAGGATAATTTCAATGACAAAAGAAAATACATGTAGGATTCATTATGAGTCACCTTATATTTCAAATTTTTCAAATTTTATTTATTGTTGTTGTGGAGAGTTGGGGAGATTCAGATCCATTGGTTTTCCGGATGTACGGCATTTCTTAGAACCGTGTTATGATGTTTCATTGCTGTTCTCCGTCCTTTTGAGTGCGCGCTCCACCCACCGATAACAAATAAGCTCCCTTCCTTCACCAGCACCTATCCTCGTTTCTCTGGTCTTCGGGAATTTTCGGAGCCGAGTTATGAGGATATGTATAAACATCGTATATTTCCGCATTTTCAGAACAGGCATTTTGATTTTCTAGGCGTTCAGCCACACTGCGTAACTTTTAACGTTTTAAGAGTCGCTTGATGTCAATGCACTAA